CTTAAACTTAATTTTATTAATTATTTTATATGAGTGTGTATATGTTGAAAAATTGTTAATAATTGCATAACTTCTGCTGGTTTAAAATTAAAGTTGTTTTTCGCGCATTGATAGATTACATGTATTTGGAAGTGATGTGGCGCTGAACGGACTTTATTGTTTCCTCGGAAACGCTTATGTTTCCATCGACTGGGATATTACGTTATTTTCAAAAACATATATACTCAGAGATTTTTTAATTAAAGTGGTCCTTTCAGTAGGTGATAACGATTCAAAGGACATTTCGTTTGAAACAGATTCTATGCCTAATCGGTCAGATTAGCATCGCTAGCAGACGACGTTCACAGGGGATCGGTTTCGTGATTTTGAGTAATGGATGACATCACAGAAGAACCACAACACTTAAAAAGGTATTTATACACATTCTAAAACCTTGTCGATACCCTCGACTTTTACAAGGTTTTATAAATGCTGAATTTAGTGTTGTGGTTATTCTCTGATGTTATACAAAACTCAAAATCTCGAAACCGAGCCCCTGTGTAATGACGTTGACAAACTTGGTAATTTCGTATCTAGAATGGCGCTTACAATAATGTTGTGGTACCTACACATCTGATAATAAATTTATATTGTCACAATTTGTCAAGTTCCTTTATTTTTTGCGATGACCTACATTGCTAAACGTTAACGAACACAGAAAGTTCTCTGATTATAGGCCTATTGATACCGAAAGTATCTGGTGGCCATGTATGTTCCTACACTGACCTAATCACTGTAAATTGCAGAATACAGTCTCATATACTGGAATTTAGTTTACTAACGACATATAGGCAAATGCAACACAGAATGTAAATATATGATGATGACATGCTAGATTGGAATTAAGAATTTAACAAAACACATTTTAGTTGGATGTTAAAGCTCTTCACTAGCGGTATTTATTGAAGTTGAATTAAATTTCGACAATAACGAAATTATAAAACAGAACAAAAAAACCAAGGTATGTGTTCTGCATAAGCATCAACTAGTATGCAGAAACATGGTGAACTATTGCTTTGTCATCGGATTATAATAAGTTGAAAGCAAACAGAGTCCTATATATCACTGATGTAACAATAAAGACATAAGCCTAAATAATAAAATGATCTAGAATTAAAACTGGGAAAATTACAGCAGGAAGAAGATAGGCAGTTGGGGGCTATTGAAGAAGTAGAAAATGAGTTAAAGTTGATTAGAGACAGTAAAATTAAAGGAGTTATTTTGAGAGCAAAAGCAAGATGGAAAGTTGAAGGTGAACGGAGTTCCAGGTTTTTTTGCAATTTAGAAAAAAGACATTATCAAGAAAAGTTAATTCCAAAGCTTATAACAGAAACTGGCGAAGAAATAACAGATATACAAGACATTTTAGGAGAACAGAAAAAATTCTATCAGACACTCTATACTAGCTCATGCACAAATGAAAATGTAGCAAATGACTTCTTTTTTGATAATGACAATCCCTTTATAAATAAACTGTCCCTGGAACAAAGTAACCAGTAAGAAGGAAAAATACATTACCAGGAATGTCTTAAATCCCTAGAAAATATGAACAATAATAAATCTCCTGGAATAGATGGATTTACTGTAGAATTTTACAAGTTTTTTTGGACAGATATCAATAGGTTTTTAATTATTTCACTTAATCAAGCATATGACGAGGGACTTCTATCTATAACACAACGTCAAGGTATGATTGCATGTATTCCGAAAGAAGGTAAATCTAAATTATATGTAAAAAATTGGAGGCCTATTACCTTACTTAATGTTGACTTCAAAATTATTTCTTCAGTTATTTCAAATAGAATTAAAACAGTTTTAAACAGTATAATAAGTGAAACACAAAAAGGCTTCCTTAAAGGAAGATATATTGGAGAATGCACTAGACTAATTTATGATTTAATAGAAAATACTGAAAAAGAAAATATCCCTGGATTATTGTTACTTATAGATTTTGAGAAAGCCTTCGACTCTCTAGAATTTAATTTTATCTTTAAAACGCTTTCCTTTTACGGCTTTGGTCCTTCTCTTTTACAATGGATAAAAACTTTCTATAATGAGAATTCATGTTGTGTAATAAACAATGGACACTGCTCCAATTTTTTTAATGTATGCCGTGGAGTTAGACAAGGCGACCCTATTAGTCCATATATCTTCATCCTATGTGTAGAAATGTTAAGTTCAGCAATAAAAGTAAATCCTAATATTAAGGGTATTAAAGTAAATAATTCAGAATACCTAATAAATCAATTTGCAGATGACACTTCCTTTACTTTATCTGATGATCCATATTCCTTAAATTCTGTTCTTGAAATTTTAGATGATTTTGGTAATGTTTCTGGTCTTAAGATAAATATTGAAAAAACACAGGCAATTTGGATTGGGGCAAAACGGGGTTGTGGAGAGGAAATACTTCCAGATAGGAATTTGAATTGGAATCACCAAGGAAATTTTAAATTATTAGGTATCTCTTATAACTTTCAATTGGAAAATATTTTGGAAGATAATTTCAGACAAAAGTTAGTCACTGTCAAAAAGCTACTAAATGATTGGTCATTTAGAAACCTTACATATATTGGCAAAGTAACTGTTATAAAAACTTTAGCTCTGCCCATTTTTATTCAAACATTTACTGTCTTACCAGACCCACCCTTAGAAATGGTCAAAGAGCTACAGAAATATTTCTTTGAATTTTTATGGAACGAAAAGGTAGACAAAGTAAAACGTACAGTTATGTATGGGGATTATAATGAGGGAGGTTTACGTGTACCACACATTATATCTTTTTGTCATGCCTTAAAAATGTGCTGGATTAAAAAAATATTGGATCCATTAAATACTTCACCTTGGAAGACACTGATATTAGATAAAATTGAACCATATGGGGGAGATAAAGTTTTTAAAATGAAAAAAGAAGGGCTTTTAAAAATTTCCAAATTCTTAAATATCTTTTGGAGAGAAATATTCACTATATGGGCAGAGTTAACTGGTGATGAACTCCCCACAACCCCAGACACTGTTGCTTCTGAGCCGATCTGGTATAATAACTTCATTAAAATTGATAATAAGATTTTTATTTATAAACATTGGTGTGAAAAGGACATTTTTTTTATTGGGGATCTTGTTGAAAACAATAGTTTTTTAACACATGAATACTTTTGTGAGAAATTCAATTTGGCTGTTAATTTCATTGAATTTTTGGGAATTTTAAATGCAATACCAAGGTCATGGAAACTAATTTTATTTCAAAGAAATGAACCAATTGAGGCAAAACAAAGTAAATTTATTCAGTATTTGAAGAAACATGAAAAGGTTACAAACTATTTTTATAAATTTATGCTGAAATCAGTCACAGAAATACCAAAGAAAAGTCAAGATGCATGGCAGGAAATTTTACATGTAAACATTCCCAAAGAATCCTGGTGTAAGTTTTATTCAATTCCGAGATATATTACAGATGACACTAAACTTCAGAATTTTCAGTTCAAACTCTTTCATAGAATTCTATATACTAATACCAAATTAATGCAATGTAAATTGAGTGAAACAGAAAGATGCACATTCTGTGGTGTGGGAAGAGAAACATTAATACATTTATTATGGGAATGTTGTCATGTACAATCTCTTTGGTCATCCTTTATGTATCTCTTAAGGTCACAATTTGAAATAGACTTAGCAAGAGACCCAGTAACCATGTTGTTTGGTATTTTTGAAACTGAAACTGAAAATGAAATAAATTTCTTGATTTTAATATTAAAATATTACATATATATGTGCAAATTAAGGAGGAAAACCCCTACAATTACTGAATGGAAAACTTACATGTTTTTTTTATAAAAAAGTAGAAGAGTGTGGACTTGATACATATTCAAATAAAAAAAGATTGTGGTAAATCAAAAATGGATTTTCATTGACAGAATGCTAAATATGGATACATGATTGTATCTTGTAATTTTTTTTTTATACAATCTTCAGAGTTAAATCATTCATGAAATATGTCAAAATTAATGTAGCAATGTAGCAGTATGAATTTTTATGTTTGTATTTGTTGTAATAAAATTTTATAGATGCAAGTTCTGTTCAAAGATATAGATAACATACGTACAGTGGCCTTTCATTATTCTTACTGATATTACATATTTTTGTATGTTTTGAATGTGACAACAAAAAATTTTGAATAAAATAAAAAATAAATAAAAAATGGAACGAATTAACTTCACCAAACTCAGGCAAGGCATAAACAATAAAAATGTTTAAGCGATTAGGGTCATATCAATAAATTTGTTTTTAGTTATTTGCATAAATATGATAACATATTCACCGCTCTATCCATTATAGTCCAATAACGTTGATGTTTTTTACCCAGCTTGCTGTCCAACACCGAGTTTTTTCAATTTCGTCACGTGAAAAGCTAAGAAAACAACAATACTTTGATACCATAAAGGTAACAGCTTATCTAACATCTAACCCTTGTTCACAAGGATTTATAAAAACAAGATATACATCTTACATGTTAAGCATATATAAACAAAAATGATGAATATGTGTTTACATACATGTATATAAAAAAAAACTTTTAATATATCATACACAAGAGTACCGCGGGGCGGAACAATATACGCCCGTCGAATGCCATAAAGTGCAATATACTTTTTTACATTGATATTAGATCTGCATCATTCTAAGATTGGTTAGTTGACATGCTATAAAAAATGTAGGAGAAAATCTCGGGACAGAAAATCAAATACTGAAAAAAACAAAGGGCAATAACTTTTGCAACAATTATCGAATCAAAATTCCTTTCAAGGAAACATAACAACATATCATGATTATTGAGCCTTTGAAGTTGCAAAGAAATCCGTCAAAAAATGTAGCAGAAAATCTCCAAACAAAAAATCAAATACTTAAATGAACAAAGGGCAATAACTAATGGGAAAAAAATTCGAATCAAAATTCTTTTAACGGAGACACAACTACATATCATGATTATAATGTATTTCAAGTTTCAAAGAGATCGGTCGAAAAATGTAGGAGGAGATTGCGTGCATCCAGGTGTCAAACCATGTGTGATACTTTATTCTGTAATACACTGTATTAATCAGTCTGTAATATCAAGGCAGCAGAAAACAATATCGTGGGGTGGAAATGTTCTATCTTCTTTATAACATTTTCAAGGATTTATTTACAATCATCAACAATGGATATGATTTATTCATTAACATATGATCTTACATCACATGCTTTAACAGAAACCTTGAATTAATTTGCTATCTGGCATACTTCCCATTAATATAAATCAATTTTCACTGAACGCAACTAGGTTCGTAATATTAACATTCGATTGTTTTATTACATTTTTAAATCTAAAATATCAGCTCTATGTGTAATTATTAAAATTACATCTGACACTAACGTTATACTCACGATCAATGGTATAATTACCGATAACGAGCGAATACAATATATATATATATATACCTTGTGTTGTTAATCTACCGATCAATAAAGTTTTAAAAATACGCAGATATGTGTATAGAGCATATAAATGTACATTTTATCACTAGTAATGTTTTTTGACTTTACTAGTTACTACGGAGAAATTGTAGCAGTCTAATCCTGATACGATGTACATTGTTTAACTTCTCTTCTCAAATGAACATTGTTTTAAGTCCTCTTCTCAAATTTTAGGTACAAACCCAATGGAATGTTCCCCATCTTTGAAACATTGATCGGAATCTGAAATGATAAAAGTTATGTGTCTCTAATGAAAATAAATTTTGAAATTTTAAGTTCTAAGGTGAGTTCTTCACAAATCTTACTAGAATATATATTTGATCCTTATCCTGTCTCCCTGCCAGTTGAAAATTAAAACAAGCACATATCATGGCAGTTTGTTTCTTCTGTCCATCTATGAATCATACCAAAGATATGAAGTGTTTCTAGAAAAAAAAATGTATTCGAATGGAAGTGCATATAACTGGCAGTACCCAATAAGTTATATAGAAATACATTACCTCTGTCTTTGGGCTTTTTACAGGTCGATAATTCTGCAGGATTCTGACGATAGCTATCTTCATTGCAAGGAGAGCAAGCCTCATCCCGACACAGTTGCGGGGTCCAGCGCCAAACGGCATGAAGACAAACGGGTCTCTGTTAGCTTTGGCCTCTGGTGTGAATCTAAGTTAATTTTCAAGTAAGGTATAACAGTATTGCATTATAACATACACAACACTCTCACTAAACTAAAATTACCTGTATAGCGTTCAGTTTCAATATACTAATGTTCAACTGACCTTATAACAACTATCCATTTTTTGTTTCATTTTGCATGTTTTTAGAAAATGCTACCTAAATGTTAGTTCTGCCAGTTTTTAATTAAACTCATGTCTTTGAGATGGAAATGTTTGTAGTAATATCTCGTCCCCTTCCAGATCTGTCCGGTCATACCTGTTCTTCATCCTCATTCAAAGTTATTGATGGTAATAGTTCTGACGGTAAATATAAATAGCGTGCAGTCCGTGATGTAAACAGGTTGTGATCTGGTCGTTTCCATATTTTATCCTCAAAACAACCCGAGAACTATATGAGCCATCAGCTGATATTGTTGTTTCGGACTGATAGGATAAGATATGAAAAAATAACACACGATTGCATCTAAAGATAGTATGTCATAAATTACATACAAAGAGACAATGCACTACTTCCTTCAAATATACAAAACCAATAAGTGTTTATATAATATTTTTTATACTGTTTTCAATTCATCTTTCGCTCCCGTATGAGAACAATGTTTCGGAAATTCGTCATATCGATGACCATAATCTAGTTGAAAATACTATCTAAATGATTAAATATGATCCTGTTATAAGGATGGTTCAATATTTGTAACAGGAAAGAGAATTAATAGTATGCTTCCACCGGGGATCGAACCCTCGATCTACAGGTTCCTAGTTGGACGCTCTACCACTGAGCTAAAGGGAAATTCCCTCTAGCTCGAAGCTAGAAGGCGACCTTAATCCTATGTACAGTTGAACCCTGCCACAATATCGAAGCGGTACATGATACGCCCATCAGATGTCGAATGAGCAGTTTGCCACAAAGGGTCATAAGTGCATAAATTTTGGAGATATAAGCTTGGTTTAATAACCAAGATTATCTACCAGGAATCTACAAACTTATGGTTGCTTGTTGAGTAGTGCTCTATAAGGTGACTAATTGTGTAAGGCTGAATGAGCAGCTTTGGAGGAAGATTTATTTTACCTACAATCTTTGACAAATTCGATAACCAATAGTATCCGCCGGAAATTTATGGAGGTATGGGCATTTGTTGGAATGTCAAAATGGTGTACATAAGGATAGCATATTGCACTGGGGGAAGGGAACGGGTCTATTATCTGATTAACGCAATATAGGTGAGATTTTGAGTCTACAACTCCAACCACTGAGCCACAATTTATTCCATAATTAAAATACTTTGCACATTAAATGAGTGAAACTATTAGTATTACCATATTATAATGCCATCCAAATAATCTTGTGATCCTAGTAGCAGGGTTCAATCACTCCCGTTGGTAGTACATTAACAGTATTGGAAAACACTAAGTCAATGGTTGTGCTTAAGTCGTTAGTAGGCTTAGTAATGAGTTGTTGATAACTCATTTTTTTACGCAAGTGACAGAAGGCGTTGTCGGTTAGTAGACTTTTTACTGATATCGATATTGAAGCCTCCCATGATGATGCCCTCGCAGCCTTGTAGATGGTTATCGAACTTGTGCAAGCTTTCATAGAAATAAACCTTCCTATGAAGTTTGAAATGAATCTATTTAAGATTACTGAAGTTATTGAGCGGAAACTGTTTCTACAAAGGGCCATAATCTGTAAATAACCGGCGAATAATTTTGGTCCGAACGCCCGGCCGCCCGAACGCCCGCCCGCGTAAAAACATAATACGTCCCGTCATTCGACGGGCGCATAAAAACTGACCTAATAATTGACGTTTCTCGTATATCATCAATATGATAAACAATGCTTGGAAGATACCATCCAACTTATACACGTTTTATCACTATACATAGTAAACCCTGTTCTCGTACCTTTCCGGGTCAAATTTCTCTGGTTCAGGCCAGTACTCGGGATCCATATGTATGGCACCCACCGGTATATTTATAATCATTCCTTTCGGGATCCTGATATTTCCGATGGTGACGTCATTTTTAGCCTCACGATCAAGTCTATATTAGTAAAGTAAAAAATATTCAGATATTTAAATTCATATATATTTGGATAGATAATGTAACTTGAAATATACCAAAATAATTTTCAGCGTAATTTTTCTTACTCTGTTACATATGAAATTTACAATTAGGGTTCATCCATAATAAATATTATTTCATTATTTATTAATAAGGTTTAAGAAATGACTAAACAGATGACTGTTTAACAGGGGCAATGAAGACAATATTTAAGATAGAAAGCCGAAACGGAAAAGAAAAGAAAAGTCTAGCATTGCAATAACTGCAGGTAGATGATTAATGTTGCTTACTATAACATCCTTTTATCAAAAGACTCAGAACAAACCAGCAGGAAGTCTGACATTAACGACTAGTTAGCAAGGAACACGACAACGCGTCATGATGTAGACACAGTATAGAGTGATAAAATAACTCACCTAGACGCGGCAGGGAACAGCCTCATCGTCTCATTAATACACATTTCCATATAAGAGAGTTTAGCTACATTATCATAATTCGGTGCTTGCTGTAATGTTAAAAAAAAACATTGTGAGAATCGGTACATGTACTTGTTGTTCCAAATCAGTAATAAAGCATGTGCATATTTTACGAATGTATGCAATCGTAGTAAACTTAATAGGGTAATGTATAATTAACCAATGATATTAAAATGTAGTATAATGTATCCAAAGCTCTACCTTATCTTAAAAAACCTATCGTATTTTCTAGTACATTGCCCACTCCGTTATATTGCCCACGGGTTACTTTAACACACATTGAATTCCTGGATCACTTTTTTTTTTATGTATATGTAGGTCTCACTTTATACATGTATATTCCTGATATACTAATAAAGGGTGGATTGGTCGAGTGTAAATACTCCGGCCTTCCACACAGACAGATGGTTTTCGATCCCCGTAGTCGTCGTATGCATGGACTATTCAGAGGAAATGTTATTCTCCTGCCCACACAACTCCAACAGCCAAGGTGGAGTATAAAATAGTCTGTGGTGGATGTTACGCCGAAGCATTCAAGTACGGTGGCAATATAAAGGATACCGTTAGAAGAACGGTCCCACTACAAACAGAACACAATACATCTCCAGCATATAGGTAGGCATATACGTATAGGGAGATATCAGCCAGGTGTCATAGTTCTAGTAGTAAGCGCCTGATAAGGCAGCTCCTGCACATTCCTCAAAATTGTATTGGTTAAAGGGGCTGGTCTGAGAAAAAATGTCATATTTGCTAGAAGGGGATACACATGTTTAAAATACCTTCTTATGAAATATACAGACTAAAATTTTGCTGAAATTCACTCCCTAAGAGTAAAAATTATAACTATATTACAGAAATCCTAAATCGTCACCTGACAGTCTAAAACTCTCAATTGACCCAGATCAGTGATGTAATTTTACCGCACGCGCGTCATCAACAAGGCCAAATGTAAACATCTAGGCGAAAGAAAAAGATGCATGCAAAAGTCATGACAGGCACGAGGTGTCAATACCGTTATATATAACAACATAAAGGTAGGAAAACTACAACAATTATTTTCGTATAGTAATGCTGTCTTGTCCACTAGTTGAGTCCGACATTGCACATGACGGCGTGCTATTGTTGTTATCTTCACTGCCTCATTTTCGAAACAACCACGTGACATATATAAAAAGAACTGCGCTAAATTAACGCGGGGCTTCCCCGAGATTTCAGTGGTCAAAACTGAACATTGCAAGCAGATCTCGACCATCATATTGCCGTGGTATAACTTTTGGAAGGCCAGAGAACGCATTTAGACCCATTTATTTTGTATTTTTTTCCCCGGCCAGCCCCTTTAATGTATATGCTAATTGTATTGATTGTATAAATTGTATATCTATGTAATGTAAAGCGCTTTAGAGTGGCTTATTCTAGCGAGATAGGGCGCTATATTAAATGGTGTATATTATCATTAAAACTCCTTTCACTTTCATCTCGAATTACTAATCTAACTAGACGATATGATACAGTGTCGGTAATATGATAAAACTTGAGAATTTCTGTAATTTTGGTATTGTTCTTTTGTAATTGATGATGTACACGATTTTTTATCTGAAATATATCACATAGCCCCTTCCTTTATAGCTATTTGTATAGATTTTGTGATACAGAACGCTTCATCAAATAGCCCGCAGAGAGGATTTTTTTTACTAATTGCGAAAGGGTGGAGCCTCTTTAAAAAACGTGTAACGGGCGGGGCAATATGCAACAAATTGAGGTTGTTACAGTCCATTCACTGAGGTGTATTGACCGAGTCATGAACAAAAGTACAGTATGTGTGCTTATCAAATTGTGACCATATCACTAACAATATAAGTTGTGTCCGGGGACATTTCATTATATCGGTAAAGATTACTTACCCCATTTAACTTATCATCAATTTCCTGTAGGAGGTTGTCACAGATTTCAGGGTAGAGGACTAAATGGTACATGAGGAAGCAAAGAGAGTTGGAGGTCGTGTCATATCCGGCAACGAAAAACAGTGTAGCCTGGGCTGTTATCTCTTCCACAGTCAGTGCTAAAACACACAATGAACAATATATAAAGGAAAATTCAAACTTAATTAAAAAGAAAATGTCATGGAGGCTATAATTTTACATCGCAAAAATGATAGAATTGTACTCAAAAAATAAAAGTGCTGTAATAATATCAAAACAACACAATGCAGTGCATAAATGCGCTTGGAATATGACTTATCCCAGCATATCTATTAGAAACAGATAATTTCACGTCTATTTAAACATTAGACAGCATTAATATAGTATGCTCCGTGCTATATTTCTATAACATGGAAAAGAATGTTGTTTTTTGCTTATTTTTACATTTCAATGTTTTATTTGTTTTCATTTCCAAGTTCAAAACGCACTTTAAAATCATAATTCCGAGGTGTTTGTTCAAGAGATAGAACAGCCAATGGAATAGCTCACGGAACCATGCCTCGTGATTTTCCCCGTAACAGATATAGTTCGTGGAAATAAACATTATAATATAGATGCAATCCCCATACTTAAATCAATTCATATATTCAATTCACTTTAAAAAATAGTCTTACATAAAACGGTGAATATTATTGAATCATTTCTTTTCTTTTTCTTGCTTATCTGCTTTCTTGTGGGGAGGATGAAAGCATGTGTTATTGTCTCATAACTGGCCTTGGAAGTGTTATATTGTGACAATGCAGGGCAAATGTAAATATATACTGATAAAGCGTGTACATTTTGTATATAGAGTCATGTAGCCTTACTCTTGCGTGTCCATGTTGACAATGTTTCACTGGCATCATTTTCTTTGAGTAATTCATCTCCTTTCTCCTCCTCTGTAGGCTCATCACCTTTTTCAGCTTTGACCATTATTCCGAGAAAATCAAAATGTTCCTGCAAACAAAAAATTGTTGATTTCTATAAATTCTAAATGCAGACTTTAAACAAAATCGACCGGTTGTCTAGGCTGTCCTTACAATTAAATGCTTGCTTTGCCATCAAGTTTAATTACTTCAGTTTTTCTAAGTAAATGGTTATATAAGCAGGGATTTTAATGTAATTAATGTGATAAAGAGCAAATGAGTATTATTTTTTCTATATTAAAGTATATTGATTGTTTTTTAATACTTTGATATATGAAATTGTAATCTTGAATAACTTATAACGAATTATCAATGTCTAACAATCTGTAGCAAAGCATAATCGCTAAAATTGTTTATTGGTCTATCTTAGTTATTCTAGACTCTTTTTTGGCCTCTAATCAGGTCCCTGTAAACGTCAGTACACGCCCTAAAAGAAGAAATTAATTAATTTAGTCGTCAGCTAACATGTCCAATATCAATGGGCAAATATGTCGTGACTTTTCCCTTTCTTGATAGCAACATCCCCTTCATTTGGTCATCAATAATTTTTCCGAATATCATGATTTCTGTAAAAGGTATCGACTGTTGACGATTTACCTTACAACACAGATTTCACAAGAAATGCAGGTACGTAGAGCAACTGTTCAAATATTGCCATAAATTTATAATTTGGAGTTCGAAATACGTTTTTTTTTGGCATTCCGATATTCTATTGCTGTCTTTTTTTATACATAACTGTTAATCAGCTTGTTGACTTCCTTTACTTCCGCTACAGTTCGTGGATTTTTGCACTTTGAGCCCATGCTCTTTTATTATTATGCTTGATGTAGCGCGATCATGGATGTTTATTTTTTACCAAATAGTTAGATCCATTCGGTATTATAACAAAACCATTATTACTGTACGTCGTATCATATTATTGGTGATTGCATTTTTGTCGGTTAATTTGAGACAGGGATTTTACATATGAAATATTAAACACTGGATATATTTGGAATATTTTAAATGCCGGACATTTTCGTAATTTGTCAAATGGAAAAACAGAGTAGCAGCATCTGACCTTTTCAAAAATGCATACGTGTAAGCATCTGGTGAATGATTAGGGGGATTTGTGTATCCAATGCAATCAGCGCTAGGACTTTATACAATGTGTATACATGATAGGAATGTTGTTCTGATGGGTGCACGGATATTGAAAAAACGGATCCTGTCAATGTATATTTATAATCAATTTATGTTTCCAAGTACAGACGTATTTCTTTTCATTCCCTTTTTTTATTAAAACTTTATTTTTATAGTTGTCGTTATAAATTTCCATAGATTAAGTTGGTGATTGGTAAATATTTGAATAAAAATCCGTTTGTAAAGGCAAGTATACATACATATGGTATGATTGAATAATTATATAACTGTTTCATATATATAGAAAAAAATCATACCTACTCCAGGGGACTGCCGTCTTTCCGTTAACGCTTTTTCAGTGACACGTGCGAAAAAGTTCATTGCAGTTCTCACTTTTGTGAGGTTGAATCCAAGAAATGCAGATAGTCTTAAAATCCACCAAAAAAATGGTAAAAAGACTGAAAGAATACAAAAGCGTGAAATTATGATACCTGCCAAACACAGAATCTCTTCTTTGTGGAGACAGACAAATGCACCAACTAATTATAATTAGCAAATATTAAATACGGGACTAGCATTGTCCATACAAATGTCCAACCAAAGAGCCAGTGATTAGTACAACCGTTGAAATACAAGAGAGGTTGATCAATCTGAGTCGATATCGGCACAATTCATGGCCTAAAGTCTTGTGGCAGATAACGGACAACAAAAAACTAATACGATTCATTTTCAAATCTGAAGGTGCACAAAACTGACGTGCATTAAATCAGCTTACAGGTAAATGCAGAGGTTTGTATTACTTCACACAATACATGTAAATGCAGAGGTTAGTATTACTTCACACAATACATGTAAATGCAGATGTTAGTATTACTTAACACAATACATGTAAATGCAGTGGTTAGTATTACTTAGCACAATACATGTAATGCAGAGGTAAGTATTACTTCACACAATACATGTAATGCAGAGGTAAGTATTACTTCACACAATACATGTAATGCAGAGGTAAGTATTACTTCACACAATACATGTAATGCAGAGGTAAGTATTACTTCACACAATACATGTAATGCAGAGGTAAGTATTACTTCACACAATACATGTAATGCAGAGGTAAGTATTACTTCACACAATACATGTAATGCAGAGGTAAGTATTACTTCACACAATACATGTAATGCAGAGGTAAGTATTACTTCACACAATACATGTAATGCAGAGGTAAGTATTACTTCACACAATACATGTAATGCAGATGTTAGTATTACTTCACACAATACATGTAATGCAGAGGTAAGTATTACTTCACACAATACATGTAATGCAGATGTTAGTATTACTTAACACAATACATGTAAATGCAGAGGTTAGTATTACTTCACACAATACATGTAATGCATGCTCTCCTCAGTAATGACGGGTCCATTTATAATGAAGTGAATTGAGAGGGAAGTTATGGAATACATGTAGTTGTAATATATTTTTTTCTATCTTTTTATGACATGTGACTTTTCTTAAACTTTAATCCGTATGTACGTGACTGGACACCATAATTACATATATGTTCATACCCATGCTGACCCATGCTGGATGATGTATCACCACGTGACGAACGTGGATACCTGTTTGCTTTAGCACATGTTCAGGTAACACACCAGTTAAGCAATAAATCAGGGATCGAATATTTTGATGCGATGATATGATAAACACGGTAGTATTATGACAATACACAAGTGTCGTTTATCTACGATGAGGCGTCAATGTTCCGAAATTTGCTTACATGTATTTAGAGCCTCAAATTATAAGCTTCGCGGGCAAAGTCAGAAAGAAAAATACTAAACAGAATCAACACAATGGGCGGCAGATATTTGCATGAATTGTCTGTCACATTTTACTGCGATGGTAGCACATCATGATTACAAGTAAACACACCTACAACAAGGACTGTTGGTGTGAACATCGAAATAGCAAAATACCGACAGCAATTAGAGTATTACTTTTTGTGGTCAAAATCTGTATTCGAACGTTCGAAATTTAGGGATTTGTCTGAAATTAGATGACTGATTATAACTATTTTCAATGTGTTCAAACTCTGCTGATTTGAATAAACAGATGGTTGACCTTTATATCATTACATCACGGGCTGACCTTTATATCATTACATCACGTTTAAATACACATGCTTTTATTTTAAAATCCTTGAAAACTTTTAAAGATTTTAACAAATTCCCACTATTATTATCGTGTTTACTTACAAACAATGACCACCAGCACTGCAATAGAAGTTGGATCTGAGAAATATCTGGCATGTTTCGTAAAAGAATTATCCGGGTTATTCTGGCTGTTAACGTCCAGACCAAATCCAGTACTGGCAATCACATCCATAGTGAAGCCTCCTATGAACCTGCGTGAGAGACACAAATGTTGGGCTTAACATTAAGGAAAGGTAGATCCAGAAATACGTCGCTACAGCTGGATTTGTATTCCTTTTGAATTTGTTTACTTATATAGTTTGTTGAGCTTATTAAACGCATGGATATAGAATGAAAGCAATAATTCATATACCAATATATCAATTAATGTGTTATTCTAATTAGGTTAACCTGATACTACACCAGCGAAGGTTCATTATTTTCTTAAAAAATAGTGGAGTGATCTCAAATGAGATATGATCTAAAGTTAATGCCTCTATATCCATTAATTATTCCAATCTTTCGTTTTGTTAATATCAAGAGGAAGAAAATTTTGTGCAAAAGTAATGCATGCTTATTACCCTTTCATATCAATGTCTTCATCTTCTTTGATCTTTTGATCGATGTGTTCCATGAACTTGTCAGCAGAGTTGTTAATTAGAGATGTCATCTTATACAAAGTAAAATAGAATAAAATACATGCCTAACATTAATAAGAGAAGGTTTATAGCAGGCATCAAAGTCGATACCAAACCGACATTAAAGCATCCGGAGAGACATCGTGAACCTCACTAAAACTGAAAAGTTTATAGAAGATATAAGTAATCATAACTCAATGTGTATCATGAACGGCGTGGAGCACTGGATGAGGTGATCAAATATATATAATTGGTAACATATATTACAGGGTAACATGATGCATTGTTTATCCATAGCGTCAAATATTAGAACCTACTTTGATTGATGCAACATTGTTTGAACGGCATATACTGTACTTTATTCGCTAACGTATCACCGTCTTATATTTCATACTTGATTTTATGCAATGTATTAGTGACCTATGTAAAATATACTGCCTCTCATTTTGATAACATTTCCCAAAGTTAACCATTCAACGTAACTGAAGGCATTCCGCAGATGACGTACATTATTTGCTTAATAGATATTCTCTGTTTACTGTTTACTTTGATATCGATAGACAGATGTTTATCATATTAGAGACCCTTTTTTAACTACGTGTAATACTTATGTCGGGTAATTGCAATGAAAAAGTATAAGCAGAGAAATGACGGGAGTAGAAAGAAGATTGATGAATGGAGAGGGATAGAAACAAAGGGCGATGAGGGGTTCAAGGGACGTGGAAATGAATGGAGGCAGGACACAGATTAAATATGAAACACAGGAACGAGAAATAGATCGATGGGGAGAATAAGATTGGACAGGGTAAGGAGGTGACAATGAAAAAGGATTCGAAACGGAAGGTATTGATGCGGAGGGAAAAGGCCGGGGTTACTCAAGTAACTTAAGATATGTGAAAGAACAGGATAGATAGAGAAAGGTTGAGACAAACGGGAAAGGGTTGCTTGAAGGAGTATGGGATGAAGAGTTTGTTAAAAATGATAAGAAGTATGAAAAACTTATAATATAATGAAGGAAAATGAAAGGGAAAGAATGATTGTAATTTATTATTGAAGGCTTAATAGTGTTTCTAGGTAAATCATGCAACTCGTGTGTGAGGGTACGGAGCTTGAGAATCGGAATATCCCAGAAGATCTTACACACATGTATGATATAGCTAGACTTATTTACCTGTCGCAACTTCTTGCCACTAAACGTTGGGGTGATGGTATTCCGAACAAAACGCCAATGGTCATCCTGTAGTTGCGTGAGCATCAAATTCATTTTGGAATCGGAAAATTTCCTAAATGTGTCCTAAACGTGAAAATAAGAATCATTTAATATTCGTTTTGTTAGAGGAAGCAACTTGGTCATACTGCAAAACTTCAACAAATGCTTTCATCAATCCAACAAGTATTCACTGAAATGACCTTAAATAGGTTTTCAGTACAAACTCTTGCTTTCCGCTATCGTTAATTATAATTAACAGTGCATTTTCTCTCAATTGTATCGCTCGTAAACTAATACGTCCATAAAAGATAAAGTTAAGAACGTAATTAGGTACATGAAAATGATGTTTAATTTAATAATGCATACCCTCCTGTTGACAAAGTTTTTGAAGTCTTTCACCAAAATATCCTTCAGAAGAGCGGGATCAGCGATGTACAGGACCGGGACATACGACTCGTACATTCTGTGTCATAAAATAAACATTATTTGATATATTCACGATACGTAAGAAAAAATAAAAAAATCAATGTGCGTGTAGTATGGTGGTATATATTACTAGGGAGTGAAAATGTTGGGGAAAAAAAAAGAAAATAATTAACAAAGGCTGCTAATGTCTCGAGTTTATTATTGCCTTTTGTCTTCATTTTACAATAGGTTTATATTTCATTTCTAACTATGTGGGCAGTTATCCAATTGTGTCTTTTCAACCTGGATATATTGGGAAGGACGAAAACAACGAACACTGACTGACGTCATACTTATGCCAGGTGTTTATTTCACTCAATCAAATCCACCAATCTATCGACATTGCTCGTCAACACATGGCATCAGCATTTGACTGATAAACAAACACTGTTTCAGGAGTTTTCGCAGTCAGCCTGCCACTTTTTTTTAGATATAAATGGGGTTGACGTCAGCCGCGTGCCGAGACCCGTGGAGTGATTGGCTGGAAGTGCAGCTATATTTTCGCTTAACCAACCAACACTGCATATTTTAAATATACCCAAAAGTGTTGTTTCCCTATATAAACTATAGTAAACTTTACCCCCTCCCCAAGGGGGAACGGATAGCTCGGGGGTCCTGAAATTTACAATTTAAAGAAAGCCCCTGATGATCTTTCCATCCATGCAGAGAAAATGATTGTAATACCTATGAGTCTGGAGAAGAAGATTTTTGAAATATTGGTTAATTTTCCCTTTTGGGCCCCGCCCTGGCCCCTAGGGTTGGGGTAGGAATCCCAATTTTACAATTTAAAACCATCTTACTCCTCCAAGGATAATTCCCACCAAGTAAAAATAATTTCCAACAGAAAATTGTCAAAATATACCCAAAAGTGTTGTTTCCCTATATAAACTATAGTAAACTTTACCCCCTCCCCAAGGGAGAACGGATAGCTCGGGGGTCCTGAAATTTACAATTTAAAGAAAGCCCCTGATGATCTTTCCATCCATGCAGAGAAAATGATTGTAATACCTATGAGTCTGGAGAAGGAGATTTTTGAAATATTGGTTAATTTTCCCTTTTGGGCCCCGCCCTGGCCCCTAGGGTTGGGGTAGGAATCCCAATTTTACAATTTGGTAGCCTCATATACCACGGATGATTCTGACCAAGTTTGAAAAAATTCCATCCCCTGGTTCTTGAGAAGAAGTTGATAATGTAAAAGTTTACGCACGACGGACGACGACGGACGAAAAGTGATTGGAATAGGTCACTTGAGCAAAGCTGATCAGGTGACCTAAAAAGAATACACGCGTGTACATGGTCTATCGTCCAATAACCCATGGTTATGAACCAGTGTTAAGCGTTGTTATACCGAAAATGTGGCAGAATTAAGCTTTAAACATGTAATAAACTAGCTAATTAATGGAGAGAGGGATAACCGAAGTACACTGTTCACCTAACTGCAGAATGGGATCTGGTTGTCGGTATTCGTGGTGTATCCATGTGTAATTCGCATATCAGCGTATCCATCGATTGACATAGACGTTAACGTGTGTGTAACAAAATGATGTCTACTAGTATAATAAACACATAGTTACTATAGGGAAACATGGGCCTTTATCTTAATAGAAACACAAGAGAAAAACATATTCATTGACAATGACTCGATTCCCTTCCCCGCCATCCTATATGACAGCACTGTTCGACTCCCTAATGCATTAACGTGTCTTAATGCATCAAAATACATGTGTTTGCTTAAAGTACCTGAACATATTAATAAACAAAATAAATAACAAATAGCCTAGTTATATCTACATTTATGTAAATACGCATCAAGGGACAATAATTCGGTTTATAAAATTAAAAACAATATTTTCAGATAATCGTAAATTATATTCATGAACGAATTATGCAGTCTGCATAAAATGAATCAAGTTTAGAGTATAAGTTATTTATTCAATCATTTGTTTTGACAATGACTTACCCAAACACTTTGCCATATTTGCGGTACATATCTAGTTCTGCTTTAATAACCCCCTGGAATATAAAACAAGATGACTAGTTAAAAACAAAGCAATTTCTTTAGTGTATAAGCCCATTAACCCAACATAAAAAAACCCAACTAATAACACATACTTTTAGATCCCTCACAGCTAACCGCAATCACCACGGTTTTTAGTTACGTTTGCATTTAGAGAAAAATGTCAATAAAAGATAGGAAACAGAAAGTGAGAGATTCAACTTTATAACCCCATGTGATTGGAATGAAAGAATCACACCGGATTGATTGGCAATGCTAAGTATTATGTATTGTTTTAAGGTAGGTGGGATACGTCCATAATGATCTTGATAATCATTGGAAAGTAACCTGCAAATGGCGAACTCAAAAGATAAAATAAAATCAAAATCTGGCTCAAAACAACCCCAACTCAATCAAGACCCAACTCTCCTACCCTTATTACAATGTACTATACATTAGTCGTGAACGGGGTTTACTTATTGTACATTGGCCATTTTCATCTCTCATTATGATACATTATTGGTGAAGGAGATATAGTTCATGTACATAAAGACTTTCCAATTTGTACCTTCATTCTGTTTCACTTGTGTAGAGGAATTCATTTGAAGTACATTAAGACTTTTCAACTCTCATTATAAAACATCCTTAGTTAATGGGGTATATTTCATGTATATCAAAACTTCAAAATTCCTATTATCATATTTGACTAGAGAAGGTGATGTTTTAATGCACATTAAAATTTCCATAACACACATTAATATTTCAATATCTGACACATCAGTAGTATAGGGGATATGATATGCACAGTTAGACTTGCATTATGAAACTTTTTAAGTATTACATCATTACCCGACATTAATGAAGTGAAACAAAACGGTCACGTGGTTAATAACTACTTATTCAGTGTATATTTCGTGTAAAATCAGACATCGGGAGATACAACCCATTGAAACAGCCTTTCGATGCTACGCTAGAATGGATTAAACACCGAACACAACAATTGAAGTTATACCCATTTAAAACAATTGCTCGAACAAAATGTTATTAACATGTAAAACACATGTGTATAGAGATACGTATAAGATAGTGACCGTTTATTCCCCAAGGGTCATAAATGGATATGGTTCAAGTGTACTACAGCACAAATCGACAACTGTATGGGTCAAATGATCAAAAGTGTTAACAAATATACAAAAACATCTCTGATTGTACATCATTATTATTTATAATCACGTTGAACACAAGTGTTTTTTATTCTTACCTACTGGTTGTTTAGATCACAAACAGTTGATTGACGTATAAGATTTTTCTAACATCAAAGTTTCAAATTTTAAGAGAAACGTGCTTTAGCTTTTTTGATTCCTTTATGAATAACTGACAAGATGAACGTAATCACGCTCAGAGCTGTCACGAGATTTGGACCTCCCTTCCACATAACTTTGTTATTGAGTAATCGATATGGTTGTTTACAAATGGGGCATGCCTCCTAGTAATATTTTAGGGGTGAAACCCACGCTTGTTGATGGATTTGCAAAATAATAAATATCAAAATTAAAATCAAATTAACTCTGTCACCAAATATCGCGAGAAGTAAAGTCGACAATAATTTACCCATCAGAGCTTCATAATATAAACGTATTCAAACGTAAACTTATCATGGAAGGTGCACATACATCCTCGGTTAACATCCTCATGTTTCCAAATACTGGATCAGGCTTAGGACCGTCAATTCCCATCTTCTTAAATGTGTTATGATCCCAAGACATGTATCTACAATTTATCAAACAGAAAATATGAATTATAGAGTTCATGCATAACAAAACATCTTAATAACAATAGTGAAGACAAAAATTCACTAAAAATACGATGAAAAAAAAAGATATTTGAAAAAAGAATGAGTAACAAAATATTGAACGGACCAAAAGTAACTATCACTTAAGCCGCGGTTACATCTTACGGTCACGCAAGTAGCTGGCCGTAGTGGGGGATGACCGTAGCTGATTGAAGTAGACCGTAGGTGACCTTGGTTAAACGTATCAGACGTCGTTAGACGTAGTTCAACGTACTTATAAACTTAACATTACTTACCCCTAGATGACCCTAGTTGACCCTATTTAACCCTTGTTAACCCTAGTTAACCCTAGATAACCCTAAATAACTCTAGTTAACCCTAGATAAGCATAGTCTACCCTAGATAACCTAGTTAACACTAGAAAACACTAGTTAACACTAAATAACCCTAATTAACACTAGATTGCCCTAGTTAACACTAAATAACCCTAGTTAACTCTAGATAACCCTTTTTAACCATAGATAACCCTTGTTAACCCTAGCCATTTTGCTCGTAGTTGAACGTTTTTGGCCGTATTTACACGTAGTTCACACTACCTTCTTATTATTTCCCCTTTTGCCAATTTAAAACCTACTTCAACCTAGTACCGTAGTGGCAATACGGTCAACTACGTCTTCTTGAACTACGGTCACGTGTACGTGCGTGACGTATGATATAACCGCAGCTTAACACTGATAACTAAATCACTCAGATGTCAGCAGTAACGACGTTGTTTAGTGACACTAAAGTTATACCCAGTAAAGAAAAATGTCCGTATAATACAGTTCACACAACAAAGATAAATAAATCAGATTTATACATAATGAAAATTATAGGAAATACTATTGGCAAAACGCCACCATTGTAAAGTAGAGCCTTGAATCTACCTTTTATACCCAACAACAATTGTTTACATCGTGGTTTCACTTACAGGGACCTGATAATTTGTTACATTTATATTTGGACCTAAACTAAGGTGTTCAGAGTAATTTTACATGTTTTGGGGTTTGGATCAATTTTCCGTAAAAATGACACCGCAATGATCATATATACGAGCTTTCGGTATATACGATCATATATACGAGTTTCTCGTATATATGATCATTGGGGGGTCATTTTTACGGAAAGTCGATCTAAACCCCTAAAACATGTAAAATTACTCCGTAGTTTAGGTCCAAATATAGCTGAAACAAATTATCAGGCCCCTGTGCACATATACACTCCTGTGGGTATCAGCGCCCACAGACCTGTTCATGGTGACTAATATAACACTATCAAGCAATACTTACATGACGTAGGTTACCACCAGCCCGACCAGCAACATCACCCATTGAAGCCATGTCGGAATATCCACCAACCCCAGCACCTCCATTGCCTCCAGTTAAGTTCAGCTCACAGGGCTGGAGAGACAAAGTGAAATACTAGGTAAACAATTAAAGGGACAATTAAGTGAAGTAAGTTTCTTATAACGTTGTGACAAAATTCTTCATGATTGTATAGGTTGATACTCCTTATAAACAATTCATGTCGAGAAATTGACAAGAGACAATGTTTTCTTGGCGTACAGCTGTACGTTTTAGCGGCAGCAGTCGTGAATTTCTAGTAAACAAAAATGTCTCTCCAGCCGAGGAGAGATTTCTCGCTTTATTCATCTAGCCTGTCTGGAATACAAGTATATGTATTTATTTTGAATATAAATCATCTTCCAACATCATCTTAATCTCAAACATTGTTTTAAATGGTTGAGTGAGCTATTGATATCGTACTTTCCGTGGTTTGAAATTCTTCCTGCGGCACCCTCTCAGTGTGTGCATGCTCTCATTAAAGCTGTTCGTTTTTATTCAAATCCAAATATGAACAGAAATATCTGATTAGTGGTATATATTATGATACTTATAATTCTTACTTGCGATGTATTGTGTACGCTTCTAATTGAAAGGCCCCGATATTACGCTATTTTCTGTCGTAGCAATTTTTATCACAGGCTTTCCCAAAAGATGAATCTGACCACACTGGACGTTGAATTCAGATCATGTCATTATCAACTACGTACACTTTCGTTAGGAGATATCGACTCGATATTCAGGTTGTCACTTGACTAAATAGCCCCTTTAATGTCATACATTGTACAGGTATGCACATAGTGGTACCAGCAATGTTTGCAAAGTCTCATTCAGTACATTATATCTATTGGAACAGAATGTGTATCTGGTACCAAAAGTCATCGGTTTTGAGTTAAAATAACGTTCCTGCTTTCACTTCAGGATTTGCAGTTCGGCGGTGGGTAACGAAATTACTTCCTCTGCAATATACCGATTTATGTCGTCAAATTATGGGATGTTTCAGCAGTAATGCTGCCTCAGAAAAGAAATCGTCCGGAAGCGAAAACTGCAAACACAATAGGATAACTAAGATTTAACAAAAACGCTTTGAGAGACCTCAAAACTGACAGTACTGCAACAGTGACCCCTATCGCCCCTATCGTCGACTATTATCAATGGTTAAAGCTTTTACGTAGGCTATTGTTTTTAATGATATATTCTAACGATCTCGTACAATTGCCAACAAAATGTCTAGTTATGCACATATGTTTTTCTTATACGACTATACAGCTTGAAGTGTTAGGTGCAATTTGAGGCTATATATGTCATTGATTTATCTGACAATCAACGTATTTAAACAGTCGATAAATGACAAAAAGATAACTATATAAACTAAAAAACAACAACTTATTCATAATCATATTCATTAATTAATCAATATTACAATAAACACACAAACTGTCTCCGACCTCGTGATATGCTGATAGATGCAAGTCTTTATACAAATCACTGTATTGGAGCGTACACGTTGGATTGCTCAGTTGTTTTCGACATTCCGAAATGGGTTTGAGTTAATCAGGAAACACATCCACATTTATAGACCTCAATGACACTTGACATCTCCTCAACCCGACGTACTCAACAATAATTATCGTATTGTTACTATAATCTCTCAATTAATTATCAGTGCCATACAAGCTCCTGTAAAAACATAAACCAACGAACCAATCCTAGGTTGTGATTTTTACTGTGGAGCTTATTTACGCATGACCGCACACTGTGACCCATTTTCCGGTTAGAATGTGCCGGCAGCTTTGGTGTAAATAAAGTGCTACTCAAATTGTTTACGGGCTCGCAGTGAGTACTAATTGTTGTTAATCAACATTGATTAAGTTTGTTTCTTCAAACACATTTTAATGTCATAAATTTAATCGAGGTAATTATAACCGAGCGTAAGCTGCTGAATGAGAAGGTTGTTACCGTAGCACTGCGTCTAATATGTATCAAATAATTAAAGAATATATGATAGACTTGTGAATCTTAAGAAACTTCGAGGTAGGAGATATTTTTATGTAGGATTTACGTGGTTGGGACCGATGTTTCACTTCGGGATATCCGAGCTTTTCGACTTTTCAGAGTTCGAATTATCAGAGTTTTTATTACTAAGATTAAGAAGTGTTTTGGCCGGGACCGATGAAATACTTCGAGTTAAACGGGGTCTTCGAGTTATACGAGTTCGAGATAACGAGGTTCGACTGTATGTTTTTCTTATACGACTTTACAGCTTTGAAAAAACGACAGCAAATGAAGATTTTCAAACAAAATGATACATTAAAAAAAAAGATTTCTGAGTCCGTAGAGAAGAAAGATTTTGGTCTACGGTAGCTGCATGACATACTGCCGTTATGACTGTCCTATCATCGAATACAATTGATGTTTTATGAGATAAAGTAGACTTTTATCGTACGACACCATATTTTTATTGTTCTGTTCAAAGAATCCCCGTCCTATTGTTAAAAATGTAACTGTGTATTTGGAACCTTTTTCCGGCATGGCTATAGCTAGGGTATGATAGAAACCATTAACTTGTGGAACTATACAAAGTTCAGTCATTTCATTGTAACAATACAGTGGAGCAGTGCGTTGTCACTCGAACCACCTGACTTATAACTGGTCAATGGTAGCATTCTCGTCCTCTCGCGCTTTATTAATAACCAAAACGAAATTACGAGAAGGTTACTGAAGGAACGAAAAATACAGCGGAATTGTCTAGTCCTTCTTTTTTTTTTAATTCGCCAGCAATGGGACAGGGACCCTTAAGTGTCACCCTCGCTAATTGTACCGTACTTCCTATCTGCTGCCGAGTCGGCTACTGCAGACTGTGACCGCTGTTAGGACGAGCACTATAACCAATAGGTTTACATTCAATCAATAAAAGCAGGTACATAATGTACTTGTCAATTGAAAATCTTCAGCATATTATGTTGACAGTGACTGTAAACTTATAACCTGCCCGTATCTGTTTGTAAGTAGACTGTGTTCATATGCACACACTTGCGTGCCGGTCAATACTGCATAACTATACCTGTACATGTTCACGATAAACGTACCTCGTACCTACCTTGATCTCCGCCTAGCTTGCCTGCTAAAGTGAGAGATTTACGAAGCTGCTTTCTAAGCTATATTGCGCAATAATTGAAATACCCACCAGTCAACACCTCGTGATTACTAAGCCGTATGTCAAGGTCGAGTGTCTAACAGCTGAGCTGCCCTCACTGGAACCGGGGCTGACGGGGACCGTCGCTGACCACGACCGTTGCATATTGTGGCGTTTCCATCAATATGTGACTAATGTTTAGCATGGAGAAAATATCAGCATCAAATTAACAAGACAAAGTGATTATGATCATTGTTTTTAATACAAAAAGTGTAGCAGAACTCATAATGCGGAGTAGGAATATAGCAGTTACCTCCCTTTGATCATGTAACAAAGAAAATACACGGTCCAGAGCAGGGACAACCTTATCAGGAAATCAAATGTTAAATATATCCGTTGTGAATCTTCTCATAAGTAAAGTCAGCAGCAATGAATCGGTCAAGCGATGTGTCATGATTTAATAATAATTTTTAAATAAAAATAAGTAACATGAACGTCGAAATACTAAATATATACATCCAATATCATACACGGTCCTGTGTGGGGACATTCTGATCAGGAAATCAAATGTTAAATATATCCGTTTTTATTCTTCACATTAGTAAAGTTAGCAATGAAAATGGCCAAATCATGTGTAATAGTGACTTTTAAATGGAAACATTTGAACATGAACCACGAAATACTTAATACATACATCTAATAACATACACGGTCCTGTGCGGGGACATCCTGATCTGGAAATCAAATGTTAGTTATATCCCATGTTAGTCTTCACATGAATAAAGAAAGCAATACATACGGTCAAAAGAAAAGTAATAATGACTTTTAAATGTAAAAAAAGACATAAAAAACACCACCAATTACTAAATATATATCTAACAACATTCACGGTCCTGTGCGGGGATATCCTGGTCAGGAAATCAAATATTGAATGTATCCGTTTATTTCTCGTCATATCAGTTAAGTTAGGGATGAACACGGTTAAAAGATGTGTCATTATGATTTTAAAAGGAAAAATAGGTAGCATGAACGACGAAATATCTAACAATAAACACGGTCCTGAGCGGGGACATCCTGATCAAGAAATCAAATGTTAAATATATCCGGTCTTGTTCGTCATAGAAGTTAAGTTAGTGATGAATACGGTAAAAAGATGTGTCATAATGATTATCAAAAGAGAAAGATGAAACTCGAACTACAAAATACTGAATGCATACATACATCTTACAAAAAACACGGTCCTGAGCGGTGGCATCCTGATCAGGAAATCAAATGTAAGATTTATCCCTTATTATTCTTCACATTAGTAAAGTTAGCAATGAATACGGTCAAAACAATTGTAATAATGACTTTAAAATGGCAACATTTGAACGTGAACGACGAAATACACGTCCTGTGCGGGGACATCCTGATCGGACAATCAAATGTTAAATATATCCTTTATCATTCTTCACATTAGTAAAGTTAGCAATGAAAATGGTCAAAACATGTGTAATAATGACTTTTAAATGGAAACATTTGAACATGAACGACGAAATACTTAATACATACATCTAATAACATACACGGTCCTGTGCGGGGACATCTGGATCAGGACATCAAATGTTAAATATATCCTTTATTATTCTTCAAATTAATAAAGTTAGCTATGAATACGGTCAAAACAATTGTAATAATGACTTTTATATGGAAACATTTGAACATGAACGACGAAATACACGGTCCTGTGCGGGGACAACCTGATTGGGAAATCAAATGTTAAATATATCCTTTATTATTCTTCACATTAGTAAAGTTAGCAATGAATACGGTCAAAACATGTGTAAGAATATTAATGACTTTTAAATGGAAACATTTGAACATGTACGACGAAATACTTAAAACATACATCTAATAACATACACGGTCCTGTGCGGGGACATCCTGATCAGGACATCAAATGTTAAATATACTTTATTATTCTTCGCATTAGTAAAGCTAGCAATGAATACGGTCAAAACATGTGTAATAATGACTTTTGAATTGAAATATTTGAACATGAACGACGAAATACTTAATACATACATCTAATAACATACAAGGTCCTGAACGGGGCCATCTTGATCAGAACCGTAAACTTTAAATACTTTTTGTTATTCAGCACATAAGCAAAGTTAATAAAGAACACAAAAATAAGTAACATTAGCGATGAAATACTGTAACGTTTTGTAATAATACCATTGCTGTCGCCAGTATATCTTTTTTTTTTATTGCTGTACTAACTCAGTACAGCTGTCATAAGTGTTACATTTCTAAATATCCCTACTACTGGACACAAGGTTTTAGTAATCCAAACTCAACTAATAGTCACCAGTGTTACGTTCTCTTTTGTATTACGGATCCTTTCTATTCTCAATTTCCACTGTCACCAGTTCAAATTAATTTAACAACAAAATAAGTACATTTATATTCACATTTTATTTACAAGTAATTTTATCCGTCACAAAAAGTCTTCACCATTGTGAACTCACTCTCCCCACTCAAAACTTATCTCCAACTTTAAACTGTAAAACTACAAAGATCTACAAAATACAGCCAAAACTACTTTTCTTACTAACTTTCTAATTATCATTCTATCTGTAGCTTTCTAACCCTCCTCTATGTCTCTAGACCTCTCAACTCTGTCTAGACTCCTTAGCTCAAGTATCTACTCAGACTCCCCAGCTACATTTATTCGGAAGGTAAATCCAGCTACATTTGACCCCTTTACGACTAGGTGAAACTGGCCATAAATCCTGCTAAATTTGACCTCCTGGTCAAATCAGCTGGAGGCACAAACTTCCTGTCACAGACTAGAACTCCTTTCACCTAGAACGTTCACACTAATCTACAGATATCTACGGCTACTTAGCTACTATCTTCAAATAAAAATCTGACACTGACCACGAGCCAAGGCTCATTTAATTTGAAAACTTTCTAGGAATATATAATGTTCTTAGCGGGGACGTCCTGATAATGAAATCAAATGTTAAATATATCTGTTGTTGATATTCATCTCATCAGTGAAGTAAGCAGTGAATACGTTCCAAAGATGTGTCATAATGATTTTAAAATGTAAAACAGGTAACATGAACGACGAAATTATATATATAAACATCTTATAACATACACGGTCTTTGAGCGGGGACATCCTGATTAGGAAATCAAATGAAAATAATTCCGTAAGGTTATTTTTTATCAAATACATACATTCGTCAATGTTCAAGTTCAAGGGATGTGTCATAATAATTTCCAAATGGTAAATCCTCTTAACATTTAAATCACAATGAAGGAATACTCCATAAGATAATTGAACACCATCAAAAAATACGACATTGTCATTTTTAAATGGATATATACATTACATCAATGATGGAATACATTAGTTTCTCGTCATAACAATTTTTAATTGATATATATATTACATCAATGACGAAATAAAAGTACATTATAATCCATCTTATAAATTTACGGTCCTGAACAGGGACATCCTGATCAGGAAAATCAAATGTTAAATGTAACTGTTGTGATTCATCACATACGGAAAGTTTACAATGAATACGGTCAAAAGATGTGTACTTATGATTTTAAAATTAGAAATATATTACAACAGTGATAAAACACATGATATAAACATCTGATAACGTAAACGGTTCTGAGCGGGGACATTCTGATCCGGAAATATCCTAGAAGAAATAAAAGTACTGAAGACTCGTTGTTGATAATTTTTCTTTTATATTATATATAGATATACATATATATTTAAAGGTAACATGAACGATGAATATGCTATTAACATATTATAGCATATACGGTCCTAAGTGGGGACATCACGATCAGGATAATTATTTATTGTTTTTTTCCGTAGATTTTGCTTTATCAAATACTTGCAGTTATAGATGTGAACAATGAAGAACGTTGCAATAATGATTTTCAAATGGTTAATCTACTGAACATTATCTCAATGGTAAAATATTAAGAACGTGCATGGCCCTGCGCGGGGACATCCTGATAAGGAAATCAAATGGAAATTATTTCCGTACTTTTTTATCAACTACACAAAGGTAATAAGGCGAACGGTCAAGACAGGTGTCAAGATATTTTACACATTAAATCAATGGTAAAATACATTATTCATACATTTCATAACGTATACACTCTCGAGCATTGCGCTGAGGTAAGAGATGAATTAATCTGATTTTGAAATAGAAAATAAACTATGTCTATAATATAATATCATTTTAATGTCATATAATAGTGTATACGGTTCTTAGCAAGGACATACTGATCAGGAAATTAAATGCTCAATATATCTGTTGCTATTTATCACATATAAAAAGGTAGTAATGAATAAGGTCAAGATAAGTGTCATATAATCATGACCGAGGACATACGATCAGAAAATGAAATAAATACTGAATTGATAGTAATTTGTCAAATGCATTCAGACAGATATATATAGAGTCTAGAGACAGGTAAATACGATTGAGAAGCAAATTGTCTTTCATATAACTGCTTTTGATAGTGTATACGGTTCTGAGTGAGGACATCTTGATAAGGTTTTCGAAATATCAGCACGTATTATTTTCTTCCTTGTTTGAGTGACGAATTTTCATTTCCTGCCTTATTGAATAAAAAGGTCCTACTGACTTGAGATAGAGAGGGTCGCCTTGAGAATGCCAGACGGAGGTAATTTATTGGCTCTTACCAGTTACCTTAGCGACTAATTTGATAGGGTATTGGGCGTTTTCTTTGTGATGGTGACTGGAATTTAAACATTGACTGTGCATGTATACCTGACTAGTATGCAATTTTACATTTACATATGTTATTTCGGAAAAAATCGACCTGAACGCGAAGGAGTTAAGGGGGAACTTTTCGCTTATTTACATACATCATACATACATCACGTTTACGATTCATCTACATAGTGTTTTCGCTTCTTCGTCATCCTGCAATCCTAGTTTTCTCTTCCTACTTTCTCTTCATCATGATATAGAAACATTTCATGGTTTCCCAATGAATATCATAT